CTCCACGATTAATCTTTGTTCCACTATGATATGATTGTTGTCAGTTTCTTTAATCATTGATTGATTGTTTTGCAAGAATAAGTTCCATTTACAATGGCGAGTAAAATTGTCTTACTTGAATATGTTTACTTTCCTATGATACGGCTCTGAAAGAAGGTCTGGGCGTAATTCTATACAAGTATATCACAGTTTGCGTATAAGCCATCCATTACGATCAAGTGCCTAACATAGTACATCGGAAAAGTGTAGAGACTGAATTCTAAAAATCGGGAAACCTGTAGAATATAGTTTCCGTTATTGTTTGTTCCTCTATATACGTTTCGTTTAAGGTTTTAGAGCTCTTGATATCTTTCCATTCTAGATGCGTTCTCAGCTATTTCAATTACTGTCCAATTCTTTAATTAAATTTCTTGAATTTCTGATATGATCTCAGAATGATGTTGAGATTTAACTTTTCCTTTACATTTCCGCGAGTGTCAAAAGTGACAAATTCAGTGGATTATTATGAGCAGTTACATGTTTTCCCCAGTAAGTTTGATGATAATTGTAATGTATGCACACTTTGGAATTATCATTTCCTCAGTAATCTTTCATGAAAGATCATATCAAGCAGCAAAATGCAGTTAGCCAATCGAATGTTTCTTAGCCTAGTCTGTTGTATTGTTTTTTCCAGATTGGTATGCTATTACTTTTTGGTATATTATCTGCATTTCAAGAACAATTTCCTTTCCTTGCCATTGCGAAATTGTTTTCAGAAATTAAGATTGCATCACACTATGACTAAAGTATCCCTAAGGTTCTAAGTGGCTTACCTGCGGCCGAGTTGATAAGACCGCTGAAAGCTGGTAACTCAATCTGAGTTCAAATCCCCACAAACGAGCTGTCTAGGTTCCGCATGTTTCATGGATATAAAGCAGTTTCCCTTAGAATATTCCTACTAGACAAACATTATGTGTGCTTTGCCATTATTAAGAAATCCAATCCATAAATTTTACGCGTCGCGTCACTTTAATCCTCCTCAAATCATATTATTGAAATATCTGGTACATTTCCAGTTTTAAGCCACAATCAGTAACTGATATTAACCCCTCATGTACATAATACTCGGCCAAATTTCCAGTTAATTCTAATTTTTGGCAATACACTTCGCCAGAGAATTTTAAATTTCAGATTAAATATAAAACAATTAAATATATTAAAGCATAAATATGTAATAAATATAAAAAGTTAGATATAAAGAATTTAATATTCCATGGATATTTAGAAAGGAAAAAATGCTATATTACTATATAAAGTATTTCCATAGAGCTGTAATGTACTAGAGAGAGAAACGACAAGTCTGAAGGGGAACAGGAATACGAACCACGTGACATTTGGAACATTTCCCAAATCGTATTTCCCACAAATCTTCCTTACCATTACAGTTCTATGGAGAATTTGTGAGAAGCAAGTGTTTTGCGTGTACGCGCGTTGTTTCGGACTTAAAAAAATGGTACTTTCGTGCTCCGCATATGGATGTAATTCCAGATACGTGAAAGGTGGAGGAGTAACATTTCACAGCTGAGCTTTTTCTAATGTTTTAAAACCTAATTTTATAAAATGTAGAGGTTTTTTTATCCACTCTACTTGCCGTTTTCTAATAAAAAATAGATTTTCTAATTTTATATAATATATGCATACTTGAAATAACATTTAAATAAAAGTATTTTATATATATGTATGTTTCTAATAACTGTGTTCTGAAAAAATGTTAAAATTTTAGTAATATGATATAATTTTAATTAGTCTAGTATTCTGCTTTGGCGAGATTTTTTATACGCCAACAGACTTTGCTTTGAATGCGTTTGTTTATATATTCTTTGTATGCGTTTGCTTATGCGGACATGTGCGAAGTAGTAATGTATGTATTTAATACTTGGTAATGATGATGTAACACTGTGTAAGAACTGCATAAAATTATGCTTGATGCATAGATGTTTCCCTTGTCACCGTAGGAGCACACATAGAATATCTACAGAAACTTCGATAACTATAACTTCACTATAAAGTTGATTTATTAAAATAAAGTAATTAATTACGGCGTTCACAGGAATGCTTTATTTTGTCCCACTTAATATGAAACAGACTGTATTTATACGCTGACTACCAGTAAGTATTTGAACACCTATACAAATGACGATCTCTGCAGTCCTAAAAGTACGTCACGGATTCCGCCGGTATATATCGTGTAGGAAACAGCATCGGCTTTAGTCGCATGCAATATGCCTTGCAGTTCGGAGCTCTCTGATTTCGTGAAAGGTATAATTATCGGGCATCACAAATGTGGCTGATCCTTAAGGGACATATCTAGCGATCTGAAGTACCCGAAATCGACAGTAGCCTATGTGATTAAGAAGTGGAAGGTGAGCGGTGATTGTCGGAATGTGCCCCGAGTCGGCAGACCAACGAAACTGCGAGATAGAGACTGTCGGAAGAACCACACCCAAACGATGGCCCTCATCCGCGAGGAGTTTCAACAGGCATCCGGAAGTATTGTTTCAGTGAATACCATCCGTAAGGAAGCACTTCTGCTTGGTTTTCATGGTCGTGCTGCTGCCCATAAGCCTTTGGTAAAGAAGTCCAACCGCGCTGCTCCGTTGATGTGGTGCAAAGCACATCGAAATTGGACCGTAGATCAGCGGAAACGGGTTCTTTGGAGTGACGAATCAAGGTTCACCCTTTACCTTTCGGATGACAGGGTCTGGCGTCTACCTGGAGAATGTCTCCTGCCAGAATGCATTGTGCCAACAGTCAAGTTCGGCGGAGGTGGAATTATGGTCTGCGGGTGTTTCTCCTGGTATGGGCTGGGATCGTTGGTCCCCATTCATGGTAAGCTCAACTCCGATGCCTACTGCACTATTTTGGATGACAATGTGCTTCCTACGTTGTGGCAGTTTTACGGGTTGGACCCCTGTTAGTTTCAGGACGACAATGCCAGTTGTCATGTTTCGACGTTAATCAAGGCTTGATATGGTGCCAATGGAATTCATCGAATGAACTGGCCTGCCCAGCGTCTGGACCTGAACCCTATCGAGAACCTCTGGGACGAGTTGCATCGCCGAATTCAGGGGTGCACTACCCGTGCAAAATCGGCGAAGGAACTTCTATGTCTTCTCCAAGCCGAGTGGAATAAAATACCACTAGCTGTCATACAAAGACTTGTGGAAAGTATGCCCCGGAGGGTCCACGCAGTATTACCTCTCGTAGAGGCTCTACCAACTATTGATTTTGAATAAAGTTAGTTTTCCTTTTCTATCACAGGTGTCCAAATACTTATTGGTAGTCAGTGTATAATGAATGCTTCAGGAAAAAACACTTTGAAAATGGAATTCAAAATGCATAAACCAACTCCAAAATAGAAAGAAATTACAAGCTGTATGCTGCCACTGAAGTTTACCACTTCTTTTTACTTTTGATGTAGATTATAGTGAAAAAATGGTAGAGTTCGAGATAAATTATACAGTAGAGTTAATTCATGTGCCGTATTTACTTGCGTATGTACCACCCCTTTTTTATTAATTTTATCGCACAAAAGTCGAAAGAGAACAATTCTGGAGCACGCGGTTACAACAAGAACATAATAAATGAGCAGTATTAATGTATAAACAACAGTGAGGATTACTCTCACATTATGACTTACGGAACCTTTATACCAATAAAAGTACATTGCAATCTTACAGTACCAGTATCTAAAAAGATATCTTCATTTCTGCTATCCTGTGTCTTTAATGTTGGTCGCTGTTAATCCTCATAGCTACGCCCCAAGCATCAAGTCATTCAGTGCTGCTGGAACTCTGTCTGTGTCGTCTGCTGCAGCTTCCAAGTCGTCGCCATCGTCACTGTCTTCCTCACCTTTGACTCCGTCTTCTCACGTGCAGTGGCCTTCACAACCATCAAGAGCATCCGTCTTCTTGGAACTCTTAACAATTAACTGCTTCATCATTCAGAGTTCATTTACATAAAATCCGCGAGCACATTCCGATGATCCCAGAAATCACATGACTTACGTATAGCTAATGCAAACAAACAAGGTCGATGATCTCAGGGATCACGCGACTTATATAAAGCTAATGTAAACAAACAAGGTCATTCTTCCTCCTCTTCTCTTGCGGAATGTATCTCAATAGCATGACGAAAACATATACTGATAACTGATTACATTTTATAATTTAGGGAAGCTCGCTTTTTAAACACTTCGGGAAAGGGCAAAATTGCTTGAGTATTTATAAAAACATTAGAACCTTGTGCTGAAAGGCTGGCGTGGAAAATGCGAGGGAGAAAATACAGTAAATGTTGCTAGAAATATCTTTTAACAACTAAACATCGTTTAATATCTCTGAGTGGACATGATTGCCTTAATATTTATCACTTTAATATAGACTTAGGAATTCTCCAGTGTGATCTTTCTGTTATTCAGGGAAATGCAGGACACAGAATATTTAAACAAGTGCTCTACACTTTATTGTTTTAACTTCATTATTTTAATTATATAAACCAGAAGTATTCAGATGTAAGATGGCTAATGGGTTAAGTGCCAGAAGCAAGGTATTTAGAAATAAATAAACATGTCATTGATATAATTGTCAATAACACTTGTTGCAAAATATAATTAAGAAAGACATATTGTTTTTGAATAATTCATTGATAAGCAATGCAGTCTTACAATTCTGAAAGTAATCGAAAGATTGCGCGTTACTTGCAATGACAAGAAACTCTTTTTTTTTTTTTCGCCTAGAAGATATGTAAAATCAGAACAATAACAATTGAATGAGACTTTTAGCTATTTCAAAATTATTATTCACTCGATTTAAAATATTTGCTTCATCGAGTGCAGTTTTGCCATTCCCAGCTGTTAAAATGAAACACAGCTGAGTAATTTTAAAACGAAATAGAAAAGAAAACAACGAGGGAAATAATGTCAAATGCATTTATAGTAAATAATCTTAAAAATAAACATGTACCGTGTTTCCAGTCATGATGGATGTGCGCCCCGGTGATCTTCAGTATCTTGTTTGGATTATTCTGACTTAAATCCCATTGTGTGATCATAATTTTGACGGATGAGCAAATTGCAGTTGATTTCACTCAGAAAGAAAAGTAGCGAGAAAATTGGCAATGACAGCAGTGAAGGAACAATGAGAGTAAGGCAAGCTTCTGATAGCTTGATCCAATCTGTAGCAATCTTTGATTCATTCTGGTATTTCAAATGGCATTTGATAGTGAAAATAACAGATGATACGTAAGAAAATTAATATTTTGTTTATTCAAAGAATCCTCATAGGTAAATTGATGGATGTGTTGTTGATTTTCATGACTGAGAAACGTTATCAGGAACTCTCTGTTGGGTTTGGAAGACGTTTGGTTGCAATTATTGTGATGAGCAGCAAAGAGAATTATGATTTTCCATTATGGAGGTGAACATCTTCAAAAATATCATCTAAAATGCAATTTAGAGTTTTATTTAGAGCTTTCCCTTTTATTTCATTTCTTAAACAAATTTTTTTGAGAAATTATATATATATATATTTTTTGATGGGATTCGAACCTCGAACGAACTACAAGTGTTCAGCCCGCTGATGGGTCTTCAGTTCATTACGAACCCGTACGCGTGTAACAATAAGACTGAGATTAGATCCCGTTCTGAATGTATGTGTATGTTTGAAATTTTGTCGGGGCCTAGGTAAGCTGACTTTGTCGTGGTCTAGGTAAGAGTAAGTGACTGTGTCGCGGTCTAGGTAAGAGACTTCTGTCGCGGTGTAGGTAAGAGACTAGATTAAGTCTCTTCCTATGTTAGGTTAAAATTGTTGGATTTGTATCCTTTGTAAAAGGAGACTTTGAACTGAAACCAGGTCCAGGTTGGCTGTTAAATTTATTGTGTTTGTATATTTTAATTTGAGCACTCGAGGTAAAATAAGTTTGGAAATGTTGAAATTCTCTGTCTGTCTATTTGATGTACTCTGGTGGTGATAATTCACCGCTGAGGTAAAACTTATAAGCATCTAATTTTTATGGTGATTAACAAAGTTACTTGGAACCTACAACATGTGTTACAAATTTTATTTATTCATTTGATTACTTGTCTTCAGTATTTGCCTTAGAATATTGGAATAAATCATAATACTGGAGAAATTTCTGTAGACGACCATGCCAATGGTATACATAATATATTAGATAAGGTCCAAGATAAGCAATACGATATTATAGAAACATCATTCATGAATTCTGTACCCCTGAAAGTGGGAGAATTTAGTGTCCAAAATCTATTTGGGATTTTTGTACCAATCAGATAAAATTATGAATGTCATCAATGGTGTAAAAGTCAATGTCTTTTAAGTGTTATATAAGGTTAGCAGCATTTTTTACAGACCACTGTGACACGGTCATTAAAACGGAAATAACTATTTTAATAATAAGGAAATTCCTTGAATTTTAGTAGACATATATTTCTCATCAAATCAATACAATTTTCAACTGCGTGGCAAAGGAAAAACTCAAAAGATCTTCATTGAAATCGGTGAAATATAGAATCCTAAGACACCAAATCTAATTTAAAAAGAAAGCTAAATTTACCACTGAGAAAAAGGCTCTGAAGTTGGTGCCCCAATTGACTTAACTCACTATAGAATATCAAATGTAGACAAATGGCGGCCTCGTTAGGCCTAGCGTCACTTTTAAATTGTCGACAATTCTACAACTGTTGTATGCAGATAAACTAAAGGCATAAAAAGCTTACCCGGAGCTTAAGAATAACATAATTCAGTCATCTTTAAAGGAAAATAATTCACAGTTTACCAGTATATAAGAATAAAAATACTGAGCTCTTTTAATAATATGCACAAATATATATATATAGATATATTGTTACGAAATGTCAAGGCGCGGTAAGATGGCTTCCCCGCAAAGCAGTTTTAGGGTTGCCATAAAATGGCAAGGGAAGGCAGGATTGCCACATTTAGCGCGAAATCGCCCATTTGGCGACATGTGGCGACAAAATTGGCGATATACCATGGACGGTTGGAGAACCTTCTGGAACGAATTCTTACCGTTTTAGCCCAGAATGTTCTCGACCAAAAGCCGAAAGCTATATAAACCCTGCTGGTCCGCAGTCAGTTAGTGTAAATGCCTCGTCTAGCGAGCTGATAGTCAGGCATTGAGCGAGTGTCTTGAAGTCTAGCGCCGAGTTGATCGTCCAGTGCATCGAAGAGTCTCTTGGTGTATCGGGGTTAGTGCATAATCGAGAGATCGTGTTGAGCTCCGGGAACAATTGAACCGAAGAGTCGGGAGCTGTGCTCTGTGTGTCGTCGAGTGCATCGTGAGTTGTAGCGTGGAGAGTCTCGAGAGTACGTGGAGTTCCGAGAACGACGAAACAAAGTCGGGAGCTGTACTCTGGTGCTTTGCAGTGTAACTGTCTCCACCGTTATTGCCTGACAGAGTGAAGTCTCTGTCGCTGATTATTCCAGAGTATTTATTGTAGATCTTCGACGACTGTCAAAGTGTTTTGGAGCTGTCCTGATTAATATTGGTAAATAAAGTGTGTTTCGATACTTCATCAAGTGTCGTCGTTATTCACTCCAAATCCCTACGAACCCCGTACGAACGTGAAGAAGAAAATAACGTTAACAACTGGTGTCAGAAGAAAAGAAAAACGCCACAATATGTTGTGTGATCTTAAATTCACTTAGTGCGAAATCGAGTTTATATATATATACACGTTTTGTGCAGCCAATTGCAACGAAACAGGGAGGTGCATAACTAGATGTTATAGCCGTCCCATAGTCCCATATACAGAATTTAGATGTTATACGGCTATTTGTTTTTGAGTTACGGGGATAGATAACGTACAGACGGTCACAAAAAATATCCATTCTTAAGTCCTTTTACAACCCGTTTTGGAATAAAGTATTCTTTATTCTATACGTACGTACAGACGTCACGGCGGGGGTGCGTCAAAATGGATTCAGGAACGGTCAAAATGAATAATTCCATTGAAATTTTAAAACCGAAATTTTTCGCGGTTACAATATTTCCTTTGCTTCGTACAAAGAAGTAAATAGCCAGTTTTAGTGAGCAACTGCAATAGATAGGTATTTTCAATAAACAGCAAATATTTTTAACGAATGTACTGTAGGATTGCTGAAAACACATATATTTCGTCATTTTTCCGTGTGTGACTCCGTGTTCGAATCAGTCTTCTCACTTTTAGAAGCTCCTACAAAGGCAAGCCTTTTTTTTCAAGGCAGACGGCCATTGCATCCTTTTCAATAACAGTTCACCTACTTACATAATTTAATAGAAAGTGAATGCTACAATGTTGCCAGCAGACAAGAGCCCAAAGGTTACATAGTTGCGAGATTTAACCCAAACTGCTTTTAAGTATCTGAATAGTTAGAGATAATGTGAAGGAATTGTAACAGACGCTATGTGATAACGTTTAACAAGGTGTAACAAGAGTTTGATATCAGATACAGACAGTATAACCTGTCTAGACAGTATAACCAGATAAAATGTCCTATTTAAAAATTATATTAATAGCGACGATAGGAATCTTTACTGGGACAATTTTTCATCAAAGGCCATCATTTTTTGAATAGATATATTTAGATGGTATTTCTTTGTTTTCACTTTCTGTATCTGAATACAAATAGGAAGATAGAATTAAATTAAAGCTCTCGTTGCCATCTTAATTGGGAGTACAGGTTTAAATTTGTTAAAGAGCCAGATGATGTTAACTACTTCCTGAAACATATTAGAACTTTATTTTATTCAAATACCTTTGGCAAGAGTATTTTGTTCTCATTCAGCTCATAGGATATTTTATGTTGACGAAATATTATAATTTTACCTTTTACTATAACGTCTTCTTTCCATAGTCATCATTAGAATGCAAATTAATTATTTGAGTGTTTAAGTCGAGGGTTTTGAACCTTTTAGAGTTTTGACAGCATCGTCTGTAGTCTACATTTTATCTTTAGCTGTGCCGGGAATTGTTCCGGCTTTAGACATTTTGCTAGCCGGCTTTAAAAAGCGCTATATTTTGAAAAATATTTGAGCCAGCTTATGTAGTAAAAAGACACCATTTTGTGTAGTCATCTGACTACGTTATCGACATTAAATTTCAACTTAAATTATTTCGAGTACCCGTAAGTGGCGGAAATTTGTCTACCCGTACCCGTAAGTGGCGTCTTTAAATTTAACAGAAAGCACATGTGGTCCTTTCTGTTAAAAAATAGTTATTTCACCTTTCTCAGGACTTTGCGATTTTATTTTAGACTGTTCTTGTCAGTCTAGTTGGGTCTGAAGAATCCCGATTTAAAGTTTTACCGAAAAAGAATCCTACAAGTTTGAGGAATCCGAAGAGGTTTCGGAATTTTAACATCTGAAGATATTATTTCGTACTTTTACATAGCAACTAAGAAGAGGTTCTTCCTGCTGGTTTCTAGTTTTTCAAGCAATATTTACTTTCAAAAGCAGTATTTTGAGAACATTTCACAAGTTCAGAAAAGTAAAAAAGTATTAAAAGAGTTTTCTAAAAATGATTTCTACGAGAAAACGGAAAATCTAGGCAGCGAGGTTCCAAAAACATAAAAATATTATTGGTGAAAAGATAAATAATACGATAATATGCCCAAAAATGTACGTATATTTTCTGAAATTCTCTAAACGTGACAATAAATATATAGATGTAGAAGAAATGTGTGTAGGAAATAAAATAGCGATAAAAAACTATTTCTCCGAGTATCTATTTGTTACCAATTCAGTCTTAAATTTGCAGGCAGAGTAGATTTTTTGATATTTTATCAAAAAGAGAGCAGTAGTGTTTTTGAATGAATTTTGAAACCACATGCAAAATTCTTTTACGTCGATCAGTAAGTTCATATCCGTTACAATTTTTCATAAAAAAATTAAAAATAAAATTTAAAAATGAAATTAAAAATTTAAATTAAAAAGTTAGATAATAAAAATATGTAAATCATAAAAGAACCTCTACACATATATCAAAAGAAGACGCATTACAGACAGATAACGAAATGAAATGTTGCAGTTAATATATAAACAAATATTTTTAGCAAAAATGTAAAGGAAATGCTTTATTGTAAAAAATAACCTAACTTAAAAAACACACAATTGAAATATAATTAAAAAATTTATTAAGGTTTCAGATT